CACACCAAGTGATGGAGTTTGAATAGAATGGTTACTGTTTGTTTACTGTACTATAGTGGAAACATGGAGGCAATTTAGTAAAGCACATTTTTATGTTTAAGTTATATTTTTTATTTACTTACTTTCGATTAGGAACTTTTAGAATTCCTACGAGAACAATAATTACTAAAATTAAAACATGTCCTAACCATAACAATTACCAATTAGATAATTGGAAATTAAAATGCGCAGATGCTGCTAGTTGCTTTATCCATACTTCCAACGGGATGAGGATACAGAAGAGAGTTATGGGGCTATTTGCATGTACCAAAATACATACTCAACATTGATTTGAGAAGAAAAACTCAACTGTACTGCTTAAGTTTAACAAAATTATACTTGGGTCAGTCAGTTGTGGCAGAATAATCATCGAGTTCCAAACATTAAACGATTAGGAACGTAGCTCGAGAGGATTTTGGACATGAATGGGTCCTTGTGTTATCCGTGCTCATAATCTATCTTTGGGTGGAATCTCAACCTTGTGAGATACGTAGTTTTTGCGCTCTCCCAAAACAAACAGATACACAAATAAGCAGACAGAAACCTCTCTTACGTTGAAATATTTAGAATAACTCACACCAAGTTGTGAGTAGCATGATCTCTTGAAACAACAACTCGCCATTATAACGGCAATTCATTGACCTAATTGTATACAGCAGGCTTACGCTGTTCAAAGAAAAGTTTCACTGCCCCTGGCGTGAAGATTTCAGGGTTGTTGTATTCGTGAGGGTTGTTAAACCAATAGCAGTTAATTCTGATTGGCAGGAATGATGCACATTGCTAAGGGTTGAAAAACTTACATTCTCTGATAAAATGATGACAGGAGTAAAATAACTTAATGCAATTAATAGTGGAAATTGTTCGTACGGTATCAATTCGAAGTTTGGCCTAAACTTTAAAAAAAAAATTACAAATCTAAGCTGGACGATCATGTTGATGGAATAGAAGAACTACTGAGCGAGTTGAAAGTTGAATGGCTAACATGTTTACACGCTACATACATTTATATAATGTAATTATGAACCTAATTTAGGGTAAATAGAGACGAAAATTGAGAATATCATACCACATGTAAACAAAAGTCTTTCCATATAATGATATTCTATAGTGTCTTTCTACTGTCGTCATAAGAGACTAGGCTAATTGTATGTTGTTCAATTCTGCTGTTCAATTCAAAGTATTGTTAGAAAGGTCAACAATCAATAAATCAATCATTGTGTACTAAATTTATTTTAGCTCAACCAACCAAATAATCATTATCATAAAGTGACAGTAAATTATCCAACAACATAAGGTAGAAGTTGGGTAAGGAGTCAAATTAAGGTTTGAGCATAAAAAAGTAAAACAATGAAGTGCATCATGCTGTCTTAATTTGGAAGATGGAGAACTAATTTTAGAAATCAATAAATAAGACAAAAGTAAGCAGTTTGTGCATATATTTGGTCGGAAGCCAAGAGACTCTCACTGATCCTCTTTTGCGTTTTTATGTCTCATTAGATCGCGCCTAGACTTGCTGACACATTTGTGGAACGGCGACGTTGACTGAGAGTTTGAAAAACTGAAATTACGGTGGTTCCACTGTGGATCTACTGTGAAAAAGTAGATCAATTATCGTTATTTATTAAACAAATGCGAGCGTTGTAATCTTCATAGATCGATACTGATTCACTTGTACTTGTCTACTAATTTCGGTCGAATTTAATCTTGTAAGTTAAGTATTTGATCGCGAAATGCCATTTAAACGTACTTTTCAAAATGTAATTACAATTTAACTACAGGAGCTTCCTTAACTTCATTCGTTGTTTTATATGCGAACAATTAGGAAAAGCACTATAGTAATTTTGGTATTAAATCAACACAAATCTTTCTCTGTGACAACTACCTAAAGCGTATGATATGGACAGCTGAATTTCCCACTGTTAAAAGACTATGATATTTAGTTCAGAGTTAATGAATTTCTTAGTTTGAACAGTTCTTACATAATATGAGTAGTTCGTTGATAAACCCAATGGTCTTACAAACGATACCAAAAGAAAACACGGATTTACACTTAGAATCCATTTTAAAACTTTTAAGAGTAAAATTACGTGGAAACAAAACAATTAAGGACAACTAGTCTGACGGTCAAGCTGATATCAAAAAAGCGAATTAGAGCTGATATTTAGACTGATAGGGCGATAGAGGTAGCAATTATTTGTCTACGTATCAGTGGAGAAAAATATACAAGTAATGGCTCCATTATGTTTTGTACGGAGTACTGATAAAGAGTGTAAAATCTATTAACCAAGACAATGCTGATATGCAGACTGATATAGTGGTGATATAAAGGCAGTTACACCTTACTTAAAGTACTGATATGCAGACTAATATATTGGTGCTACAAAGGCAATTACACCTAACATACAGTGATCATATGCATACGGGTATGTTGTTGGAGTTATAAAGACAGTTACACCTAACAACAGTGCTTATATGCAGACTATTGGTGCTACAAAGGCAATTACATACGCACACCTAACATACAGTTATGATATGCAGACTGATATGTTGGTGCTATAAAGACAGTTACACCTGACATACAGTGCTGATATGCAATCTGATATGATGGTGCTATAAAGGCAGTTACACCTTACATACAGTGCTGATATGATGGTGCTATAAAGGCAGTTACACCTGACATACAGTGCTGATATGATGGTGCTATAAAGGCAGTAACACCTAACATACAGTGGTTATATGCAGACTGATATGTTGGTACTATAAAGGCAGTTACACCTTACATACAGTGCTGATATGCAGACTGATGTGTTGGTGCTCCAAAGGCAGTTACACCTAACATACAGTGCTTGAATATGCAGACTGATATGTTAGTGCTCCAAAGGCAGTTACACCTTACATACAGTGCTGATATGCAGACTGATATGTTGGTGCTCCAAATGCAATTACACCTAACATACAGTGGTTATATGTAGACTGATATGTTGGTACTATAAAGGCAGTTACACCTTACATACAGTGCTGATATGCAGACTGATATGTTGGTGCTCCAAATGCAATTACACCTAACATACAGTGGTTATATGCAGACTGATATGTTGGTACTATAAAGACAGTTACACCTTACATACAGTGTTGATATGCAGACTGATGTGTTGGTGCTCCAAAGGCAGTTACACCTAACAATACAGTTACACCTACAATACTTAACTTTATGTTTCAATACTTTTCATAGTAGTACTCAGTAGCACTTAGTAGTTACTGAGTAGTACTCATTATTGCAGACGTGGATAATCCACACCAGGGAGTATCACGTTCACATTGCATGCATGTAAATATCCAAAATTCGTGACCTCCTAGTAGCTGGATTACAGGACGACGCCACTGTCTCAGTCTAACATACACTGACATGTGCATATTTATATTTGTAAGATATTTGAGACATCTTTATTTTAAGACATCTATTTATGACATTTAATGGCAAATAGATCATAAAAACCAATAAAACTTTAGCTATATTATAATGATATTTTTAAATAACAGTTTTGGTATGTTAATTTATTATTTTTAATTTTCTCTATTATGTCATTGTATGGTTATGGATGTGTGTAATGGAGGCTCCTCAGTTCCGAAAAGATTCTCGGGGTTATATAACGACCTGTTATTTCTCAGTAGGCTAAAATAATGACGTGGAATTAAAGGAGAGATTAACGTCTGATTCGGTAATCTCTAAAAATAGGCCATCTTCTTATTTTCAATTGTTAGTATAAATCCACAGAGGGTTAGTTCTTAATATTTTGGTTTTTAGACAAGCAAAATTTTGAATGATGTTATTGCTATTACCTCTCTTTAAGTAGATATTCAAGCATGACGCAATGTATACCTAACAAACATAATACTATAGCCTACATCTTTCTCTGCAGATGAGAAAAAATATAAGAAATATTGTTTAAACGACTTTCTGCATGTGTAGTCTACATATTCCTCATTTTATACTAGACAACTGAATGTGTTTATAACCACCCTAGGATGGAACTGTTTGATCAGTGGTTCAACCTAAAAATATAATCTTTACACTATAATAAACAAGTATAATAATTACCAAAGGATCTTGGTAGGCAATTAGGTTGTAATTTATCTGAAGAGTGTTATTCTATTAAAGTAAATTATGCATTAGATTTTGTTTATATGAAATGTTTATTTTAGTAAGTCTTAAATTATTAATTAAAAGTAATCACGTTAATCCATAAAGTAAATAATGCATTTTATAATACATTCCAATAGACATTTTAATTAGGGAACAAAGTTTATACACCACATTAATGTACGCATTAACATGTACACATGTAACAGCATTAATGTAAGTATTTAAAATTATAGAAATATTCTAGGCCTGAAACCTTTCTATGGCGGGAACGGTTTAGAAAATGGAAACATTTCACCGCCTACTTTAGTAACGGGTGAAAGGGAAAGTAAGTAAAAATAGGCAAGCACTTAAGTTCGAGTGATTGAATGGGATTCATCATACACTCAATGTTTATGGTAGAAATATTGATCCTAGCTAAGCTTTAAGGAAGTATTGAGCAGCTATTTTGTTTCATAGCGTTTCATATTAGTACAGCCCCGAAAAGAGTGATCATTCGATTTTATTATTTGCAATAAAAAAAAAATAACTTCCAATAAGTTTTATAGACAATTAATGAAAACCCTAGTATAAAACCAATATCTCAAAACCAACCACCAAACTAACTGTAAACGATTCGAACATTTGTAATGATTTACTCTTACAAATCTTAGTAGGCCTATCCAATATAATAAAAATCATGTTTAACTTCAATATTTACAACAGGAAAAATATTCCTAACACAATGAAATAATTTCACCGGAACAATAATTTTTAAATTTTTTCAAAAGTTCTACATTAGATAAATTTACCTACTTACAGAAGAAAAAACATTACAAACCTTGCAATTCTTGGTAATATCCAGGTAAATCACAAAACCACAACACACCACACTGACGTACGTATCGGGTAGTTGCCGCGCATATCCTAGACTTACACGCACGCGTGGTTCACCACAGACTGAGGTAGCGAGCGTAGAGCGTTACCCCCTCCCCTACCCTAGCGGACCTAGGCGCCACGGAACCGAGGTAGGTGTCCAAGGGGGTAGATCACCGATCACCGAGGGTACGACCTGGAACATACATTGATCGTAAGAAGATCGTGCGATAGAGGAAGATGGGGGTTTTAATGGAAGAATATATGCAACTGTAAGGATTAAAGGGTTAATAATTGATTTTTAAAAGTTTTGGTCGTGAAGGTTCATGCAGTATATGTTGACCTTACATTTACCCATCACAATAGGCCTAAGATTCAGCGGTATCTTTTGAATTATAAAATACAAATTTCTTCCTCTTCGTTTAAATAGTCACAGTAAATATAGCGGGATATAGACCTGAAGAAATTAGTGGGCTATTTAAAAAACTTAATGTGCAGTCCTTCACTGAGTCAACTGTGTCAAAATCAAGTCGCTCTAATTCCTTCGTATAAAGGAGCGTTTCATTTTGACACCGTCGTCGTAATATCTTAAATCCACATTAGTAGTGGTGTTATACGAAGTTTGCAGCCTATGACCTTGCAATAGAATAGGACAATCAAAGTAGGCATAAATTTAGTGTTATCGTCAGAATAACCTTCAACTTCTTTCTGGTACTGAAAAGTACCCAGGCAAATGTAGCTCGGAATGTGAACTATGACGAATCAAGTGCCTGGCAAGGCACTTAAGTTGAAACTTACTTAAGCCATTTAGCCATTTAGTCGAAAATCATACTTCCGGACGAGCCATCAACACAAAACTTGTAAATTTTTGGGAAAAAATGAAATTGTGTAATTTCTTTGGGATCCATAAATCAAAATTACGGTGTTTAAATCTAATTTTGAAACTTTTTTTTATAGTCACATTCATCAAATGAAAATATCCTTTTACGCAGTACAAGGACACAAAAACTAATCATCTTCGAAAATAATAATTAAATCAAATATTTAAACAAATATATAAGTTATGTATACCAAAATGTAACTGAGAAAACTCACAACATGGAGATTCATCTATTTAATTTACAGCGTCGGAGTTTATGAAAAGCTAAAATTACAAAGTTACAGGTAAATACTCGTATTTACATTACAAACATCACGACTACAGCACAAACGCTTCAGGCATCAACATGTTTTTGTACAACGATAGCAAAACTCTCTTCTGTTGATTTACAGTTAAGATATGTTGCACGATTTATAATATTTCATTGCAAATTCAACAATTTATGTTCGTGTGTTTGTACATTAATCAACACTGTTAATGAGTAAAACACGATTAAATTTCTTCAATTATATTGGATGTTAAAATAATCCTCTCCACCTGTTACTCTATTAAAGTATAAATAAAATATTTAAAGTTAAATAAACACTTCGTCTGGTATTCTTAGTTTAAGCCAAAATATTTCACGATAAAAAATGTTTCTATAATCAACGAGGATAGAATTTTATTTAAAGAAATATTTGCTCCTGAAAGCAATAAAATAAATTGCTTCCAAAATTTAATTTTGTTTTAAATTCTTTCACAGCGGTGCTTAATACCAGAAAATCGTGATATAAATTAAATATCATTTTATATGATGATTAATCTATTTCAAAAATTAAAATCGTTTATTAATTATATGTTTATAATACCCAGCAATATTATAAGTACCACTCCATATTGCACAATTTATTTCGAGATCAAACGCCAACAGGTCGTGTTAAATATTAAGCGGCCTCCGCCACTGGTGTGCTTGTGGTCCTCACTCGCAGCTAATGTCTGGACTTGTGTTTATTTACAGCTTGCAAATCGCCTCTTGTGATGTATTTATTAAGAGCCAGTTATTATTAGCACTGTTCCGCGAACATCTCATTCCTTTGTTGTACGTTTTGTTTCGCCACGTTAAAAGCTTCTTGCTAAATGTTTGTTTAGACTCCCAAGAGGCGATCGATCTGACCATTCCGTCTTTTTGTAATCGGGTTTTGGGTCGGAATTTTAACAGCACTTTTGGGAAACTTAATTCTTTTTTGGGGGAAAAGAGGGTTATATTGGATTTAAAGGTAACCGGATCTTTGTAGAGGAATATGTTACTTTCATATTAATGTGACAACCAAAGATTAAACATATATATTTATTATGGATTCATGTATGTCAGACAAACGATTTTACAGTACAGAGGATGTGTGCGTGTTTACTATTTGTATCTTGTTATTTAACTAATTTTAAAACTATTATAACTACAAGTAGGGTACGCTGTACTTGGGCCCGCCAATCAGAGAGCAGCATTTCATCCCCACCCCTCCCCTAGGCCACGCCCATCAGCCAATCAGAGAGTAGCATTCCCCCTAGGCCACGCCCCCTAGCCAATCAGAGCGCAGCCCTTTCTCTAGGCCACGCCCCCTAGCCAATCAGAGAGCAGCATTCCCTCTAGGCCAATCAGAGAGAAACATTTCCTCTAGGCCAATCAGAGAGCAGTATTTTCCTTAAGCCGTGCCCTAGAATTTCCACGTGGTCTAACCTCACATGTGTTCTAACCTCACTTTTTATTTTCCCGCCAAATAACATAACCTCACTTCCCCCAGCAAATATTGTAAATGTGATTGGTAAGGATTGAACCAGTGAACCTCTTAGATCAACGACTAATGCTACTCCTACTATGATACAACACCATACTAAAAATCAACACATCACCCCGACTGGAAATGAAACGTTTGGCAATTGGTAAGAATCGAACCTGTGAACCTCTGGCTCATACACAGTCTTATACACAACCAACTGCTAGGAAGAAACATTATTCAGATTAACCATCATTCCAACAATACATAATATCTATGAAATGTTTATTATATGTTCAACAATTGGTGGCCTTTAGAAAGGCCATTTTTGTTCTCTATGATAAAGTTCTGCTTAAGCCTTTTTCCAGTCGGTTAAACAATGGATATGGGAATTATAATTTGCTTTGTCATTGTTATGGACTGTAGTATATAGGTATATGTAAATAAAACTCAGCAAATACTGTAAATGTGACTGGTAAGGATCGAACCCGTGAACCTCTGGCTCATACACAGCCTCATACACAAGTAGGGGTGGCAGTACTTGAGGTGAAATCACGTGACACCCTCAGGTAAACCATCTGATCAGCTGATCCTACCATAACCTTATTTGTATGTATGCTTTCCCGCCAGTCGTTCCCGCCAGCTGACGTAACCTTATTTGTTTATATAGGTACTTAACAAACCAAATTAATTATAGGATAAAAAGTGTGACCGGGTATCGACCCCGGACCTCCTAGGTGATGGATAATGTCTAAGCCATCCAGCTATGGAAGTAGTTGTAACATATAATAGTAGTCGTCAACTGTTCAACAACCTTAATTGTGACCACATACGCAGCTGTGAAACATAATTTCAAGGTGAAATCCTTCCTGCCATAACCTCACACTACGTATTGTATACGTATCTCGCCAATTAACCTCTCCCCAACTGTATTTCCAAATCACATAACCTCACTCTTGTGCCATCTGCTTTCCCGCCATGACCTCACTTTACGTAAATGTAGTTATTTCTATTCAATTATTAAACACAGTTACAGATACAGTGTTTATAGTGGTAAATGACAACCTTACTTTACATATACAGGGTGTGTAAAAAAACATTATATTTTTATTTTATTTCATACATATCTAAATGTAGTAGTCCATAACAAATGTGAAACAAATGATAATTCATGTATCCAATGTTAAAAATAGCTGAAAGAGGGCTTAAGCGGAACTTTACCGTTGAGTATAAAAAACGGCCTTTGTAAAGGCCACCAAATGTTGGATGTTAAATTTACACTTCATAGATGTAATGTACTCTTGGTATGTCCAATGGGGTAACGGATTGTGTAAATGGTTCTTCCTAGCAGTGGGCTATGTATGAGGTTGTGTATGAGCCAGAGGTTTGCGGGTTCAATCCTAACTATTCGCAAAATACCAAGTAACTATCACCAAACGTTTCGTTTTCGGTTGGGGTGTTTTTTGTATAGTGTTGTAACGTAGTGGGAGTAGTATGAGTAGTAGTATGAGTCCTTGATCTCAGAGGTTTGCGGGTTCGATCCCTACCAACCACCAACTGCTTCCCTTCTGGTTAGGGTGATATTTTGAGTTTTAGTATCGTAGTAGGAGTAGTTACAGTAACTTGTTTAGAATGTGGACCTATGATCCTGGAGGTTCATGAGTCCGATCCTTACCAATCACCAATCGTGTCATTCCCGGTTGGGGTGTTTTCTTTTGTTGGTATGGTGATGTATTATAGTTAACCTTTTGTATATAAACCTATGGTCCCAGAGGTTGAAGGGTTTGATCCTTACCAATCACCAACTGCTTCCCTTTTTGTCAGGTTGATATTTTTATTTTTAGTATGTTGTTGTAGTGTAACGGGAGTAGCGTGAGTCATTTATCTCAGAGGTTCGCGGGTTTGATCCTTACCAACCATAGTTTGTATCATATCCGGTTGGCGTGATCTTTTGTAATGTATTGTAGATAACTGTTTGTATATGAGCCTAAGGTTGTGGGTTCAATCCTAACTATTCACTTAACGTTTCATTTCTGGTTGTGGTGTTTTTTTTCTTGTATGGTGTTGTGTTGTAGTAGGAGTAGTGTGAGTCCTTGATGCTAGAGGTTCACAGGTTCGACTCTAACGAACCACAAAACATGTTATTTCCGGTTGGGTTAGCGCTAGAGGTTTACGGGTTCAATTCTAACCCGATTGGAATGGTTAATGGGTTCGATTTTAACCCGATTGGGTTAGTTTTAGAGGTTTACGGGTTCGATTTTAACCCGAATGGGTTAGTTTTAGAGGTTAACGGGTTCGATTTTAATCTGATTGGGTTAGCGCTGTAGGTTCACGGGTTCAATTCTATCCCGGTTGGGTTAGTTAACGGGTTCGATTATAACTCGAATGGGTTAGTTTTAGAGGTTCACGGGTTCAATTCTAACCTGATTGGGTTAGTTTTAGAGGTTCACGAGTTGGATCTTAACTCGGTTGGGTTGGTTAATGGGTTCGATCCTAACCTGATTGGGTTAGTTTTAGAGGTTCACGGGTTCAATTCTAACCT